GCTCACCTGGCCCATCACTCAGGACAGCCTTGCCTGGCCCTGGCCGCACAGCTCACCTGGCCCATCACTCAGGACAGCCTTGCCTGGCCCTGGCCACGCAGCTCACCTAAGCTTCGGCTTGGGGGTGCTGAGGACACTATCATCGTCCTCCATGTCGGGGCCGCTGTCGCTGGGGTTCTCCATGTCCAGTGTGTCATACAGGAGATCCAAATCCTCCTCTGCCTCAGGGACATGTTCTGCGGGGTCCTGCTCAGAGTCCAGGACCTGCAGGGATGGCAGGCCCATAAGGCCAGGCTGGAGCTATCCGTATGCAGACATATGTCACCCCCAGGGCAGGCTGGGCGAGCCCCCCCCGGCTGCCACAGAGGCATCTGCAGGGACAGGGTGCAGAAGGCACACAGAGCCACAAAGGCCCCTGCTGTAGCCTATCCTGAGTCCAGTCCAGGCTTCAGAGACCCCAGGTCCCCAAGGGCTGGGTGCGGGGACAACCCTACTGGTCCCTTCTCTCAGAATCAGGCTGGCTAGGGTGCAGAGAAGCACAGGGCATAGACAGATGGCCCAGCAGTTGTGTACAGCCGTGTGGCCGCCACCATCAAAACACAGATGCTCCTCTCACCTGCTAAGACCCTGCCTTGCCTTGCAGTAGTCAGTGCCTCCCCTACCCCCAGGCAACTGCCCCCGCCTTCTGTGGCTTCAGTGCTGCCCTTGCTGGGACATCATGAAATGAACCAATGAGCAGCCTCTGGGTGCAGCTGTGTCCTGCTGTCCAGGGCCACCCATGACCCAAAAAACCACCAGTTGACGGCTATCTGCATGTCCCAAGGTCTGGCTGGTACAGATGAAGCCAACACGGACACCAGCACAATAGTTCCTGTGCACACAGAGGCTTCACCATGAGGTCACAACTTGAACTGCTAGGAGTCTAGTGATTCCTGCAACGGAGGCGGCACTGTTGATGTGCCCACCAGCATTGAGAGCCCCTGGCCGTCCCAGGGGGTACTGCGCCATCTCACCGCACTTGGGGTTTCTATTTCCCTACTGACCGTCTTTGGAGACACCTCTTTTCACATAGCGCCTTTGCCCATTTTCATTTAATATATATATATATATATATATATATATTTTTTTTTTTGGAGACAGAACCTCAAGCTATTGCCCTGGGTAGAGTGCCGTGACATCACAGCTCACAGCAACCTCCAACTTCTGAACTCAATGGATTCTCTTGCCTTCACCTCCCAAGTAGCTGGGACTACAGGCGCCCGCCACAACGCCCAGCTATTTTTTTGTTGTAGCCATCGTTGTTTGGCAGGCCCAGGCTGGATTCGAACCCACCAGTTCAGGTGTATGTAGCTGGTGTCTTAGCCACTTGAGCCACAGATGCCGAGCCATTTAACTTTTTTTTAATAGACAGGGTCTCAATCTGTCTCCCAGGCTGCAGGACTGTGTCATCATCACAGCTCATGGCAGCCTTGAACTCCTGGGCTCAAGTGATCCTCCTGTCTCAATCTCCTGAGTAGCTAGGACTACAATGTGAGCCACTATACCTGCTAATTTTTCTATTAATACTTCTCATAGAGACGAGGTCTCAACTATTGCCAGGGCTTGTTTGGAGGTACTTTTTTGGAGTTAATTTTTGAATATGGTACAAGAAAGGGTCCAGCTTCCTTCTTTTATATGTGCACATCCAGTGGTTACAGCAAAATTAGCTGAGAAGACTGCTCTTTCCCACAGAACAGCCTGGAGGTCCTTGTGGAGTAACAGCTGGCACTTAGTAGGGGGTCACTATCTGGCCCTCTCCTCCCCTCACACCCACGGGCTGCACACCTCCCTGGGCCAGGGCTGTGCAGTGCGTTCTGAATGTGGCATGCATTAGGTCCTCCAACTTTGTTCTTTTTCAAGACTGCTGGGCTATTCTGAGTCTCTTGCTTTTACAAATAAATTTTAGCTGGTCACATTCTGCAAAAAGCAGCTAGAAATTTAACAGGGATTATGCTGACCTATAGATCAGTTTGGGGAGTGTAGCCAGTGGAACAATACTCATCCTATGGTCCATGAATACAGCATGTCTTCATTCATATATTCTTCAATTTTTTAAAAAAAATGTTTTGTCATTTCAGGGTATGAGTCTTACCCATTTTAAAAATTGGGTCGCTTTTCTTAACAGGGTTTTGAGAGTTCTTTATAAACACACTGGATACAAATCTTTACCGGATACGTGACTGGCATATATTTTCTGTGAACATGCAGCTTGCTTTTCATTCTTTCAATAGTTATCTTTTAGAAAGCAAATTTCTACTTTTTTGTTGTGGTAAAATACATACAAAATGTAGTATCTGCCATTTTAAGAACTTGTAAAAAGTGAGCAGTGCAGCGGTACCAGGTCCTACGGCACCCGAGCACTGCACCTCCGTCCTGCTACTGTGGGGATGTTCCGTGAGTGGGACCACACGGCATTTACGTCTGGCTTAGTTCATGGTTTTTATTGTTCATGAAAGTCCAATGTATCGATTTTTTACTGTTTTCCACATGCTTTTTGGATCCTAAAAAATCTTTCCTTACCCCAAGGTCATAAAAACATTTCCTATTGGTTCTAGAATTTTTATAGCATTAAATTAATGTTTGTTAAAGTTTAAAATGTAAGTAGTGCCTGAGTCTAGGAGTTTGAGACCAGCCTGGGCAGCACAAAGAGCCCCTGTTCAGAAACAGAGAAGCAGCCATCTTTCCTGGTGTGCAGTACTCCTTTAAAAAAAAAGTAATTTTAAAAGTTTTAGGTTTTAAATTTATGAATGTGATCCACTCAAGTTATTTTTGCAGTGTGCACCCTGTGTCAAGGCTCAGTTTTCTTGGCAACTTTGAACTTGGCAACTCTGTTGAAAACCAATTGACCATATCATACAGACGTGCCACCTATGCTTGTGAAACTAAAGTATAAAATATTCAACTGAAGCTGAGGGTTCCAAGATATACAGTTTGCCCCGAATTCACTCTCATAGCACAGAGTCCTGACCAGAGGCTCTGCCTGATCACACATCGGATACAGGATGCCGGTTGGCTGGGACAGTGGGGCCTGCAGGAGCTCTGTAGTCAGCCTGGACACTGTACCAGGCTAGAATATCCACACCTCCAGAACTTATCAGCTGGGACCTAATAGCTAGATGATGATAGGAAGAAGAGACTGGTCATGAGAGCCGCCCTGCCCTGGAGAAAGGAGTCAGTGCCTTAGAAAAGAGGCTTCGGTAGCTTGTCAGCACCTCTTGCAACATGAAGACCCATGGAAGGTGCCTTCTGCAACAAGCAGGCCTCCACAAGGCAGTGACTATATCAGTACCTTGACCTTGAACTTCGTCTTCAGAACTGTGAGCAATAAATTTTGGTTGTTCACAAGTTTCCCAGTCTAAGGTAGTTTGTTATAGCAGCTCAAACAGTCTAAGAAGGGTGGTGAGCTGGGCAGGTGACCTCATCTCATTGCCTCTCCTGCCGACCCAAGAGCTGCTGGGGATGCCAGCTGGGGCCTGGCAAAGGGTGGACACTATGCCTCCCTGAGCCAGACACTGAGCTGCAAGGGAGACAGGCTGGTCTTCTCAGGAGAGGGAGTGATAGGTAGAAATCAGGACAGAGACCATGTCGCTCACCTAAGCTACAAACTGATCTGTATGGACTATACACAGCGCAGGAGAGTAGTCCTCTGAAGACCATAATTAGCATCCTTTCACTGAACAGCGTCTGGATGTTGGCAGATGCTTTTAATTTGGGTTCTAAGTCCCAGAACTAAATCTGCATAGGTGGTGAAGCCACATCTAGATAGTCCAATCACCTAGGTCCTCAAGGTCAAGATGTGACCCTGAGTACCCACAGTCCCCCACTAGGGAGCTGCCGAGGCGGAATATCCATCTTCAGCTGGACTTGGGAATGTCCCACTCCAGGATGCACAGACAGGCATCTGCTGGACCACCCAGTGGCTCTGGGGCTACTCTGCCTCCGGAACTGGTCAGGGATGCACTACTTCCAGAAACACCACTGCCCGGACACGGCTGAGAAGTGCCTGTTTGTGGCACCTCTCCCTGGGAAAGAGTGTTATTGGGCATAGGTGCCAGAGGCCACCACAGAACTGCTGCTGCGGCTATGGTCCTGTGGGCACTGTTACCACTGGAGGGCCACGCTGCCTGGACAACAGGCATGCTGGCAACACTGCTATGAGGCCCAGTGACACACGTGCCACCTCCCCACTATGTGTCCAGAGTGATACACGTGCTACCTCTCTACCATGTCCAGAGTGACACAACGTGCCACCTCCCCACTGTGTCCAGAGTGCAGGCACTAATTTTCTTTTGATCATCTCAAAAAATCCAACAGATTTTTCTTTTGATGATGAAAGTCATGCAAGCTCATTATAAAGTACAGAAAAGCTAAAAGAGAAAATTTTAAGACCCACAGACTGCTAATAGCAGGGGGCCGTGAGGGCAGGGGTGTGTGGACACACTACACCATCTGCTCAGTTCTGCTGTGGACCCACAACTGCTCACAAGTTAAAGCCTATTCACAAAACACACACACAGAGTCCTGTGGCCAAGCCCCATCACACTGCCCTGTTCTCCTCCCTATGCTCATGGCTGGAGCTCAAACACCCAGCAGGGATCCAGAGTGATTGCTGGCCCCTCCAGGCCATTTCCAGCTGTGCTGAAAGAGCTAGCAGAGCCAGGACTTGGGCAGGGCATGGGAGGCGCAGGGGTGAGCAGGGCCCGGTTCACTCACCTCATCCGACACTTTGAACCTTCGCAGCAGGGCCACGACTTTCTGCTTGAAGTTCTGCTGCTGCAGGGCAAGAGGCAGCATCAGAGAGGGCCCTGGGGCTGCTGCCACCAGAGCACACTCGAGGTGCCAACTGGATGTCGCAGCTCTAGCCCTACAACACTGATGGACGGGTGGGCGGGCCCTGAACTTCCACAAGAAGTTCGTGAGCATCTTAAACCACAGGCCAAGGTCTGTCAGTCCCAGGCCTAGGGATGGCCTGTAGCCACCTATGGTGCTTCCAGAGGACTCCACAGCCCTTCCTGGACTCAATGCTCCCTCACTGCACAAGGGGATGGGATGGGCACTGGGCTGATGCTAGGAGGGCCCTTGGGTGGGCATGCTCGATGGTCAGCCCATCCAGCTCTTGTGCCTCCCTCCTCCAGGAGGAAAACCCTGATATCTCTTCCCCTAGCTGCTGGGCCAGCAGTGCTGGGTGTACCAGAAAGTGGGCAAACAGGGGGGCCAGCCACCCTGGGCACCCCCGGGCTCAGACCGAGGTGCAGCCTCCACAGGCCTTGGTCTTAGAGCAGTCACACGGCCCAAGCCTTGCAGAGAGCAGCACCTGGCAGGGCCAGCAGCCAGGGGCTGGGCATAGGACATCCCTGCCCAGCTCGTACCCACTTCAACAAGCACCAGGCACCTACTATCTGGCCACTGAGGCTGCACAGTAGGGTCTCCACACATTCACAGTAGTCCCTGGGGCCCCAGAACTGGTGTCTGCCAACCTCGCCCCCCTCTCCCCAGGCCCCGGCTTTTAGTGAGATGTCTCCACCGACCCTGGTCATGGACGTCGTCCTTACTAGCGGCCGCCGCTGCTTCTTGGGCTTCCCCACATCGAAGTCATCTTCGTCTAGGTCCTGCACAGACAGACACAGCGCCTGGGCACACCCGGCGAGCGCTGCCCACGCACCAAGCCCTGGGAGAGGAGGAGGTGCCCCACCCCCTGGGCTGGCCCCACCCAGTCACCTGCCCCTGCACGGCGTCATCACTGGCCTCCTGCTCGGAGGAGAAGCTCTCGTACTCCTCCTCGGAGTAGTTATCTGCGGAATGGGCAGACAGAAGGCACTGCCTCAAGGTTCCGCCTGGTGGAATGGGGCGGCTACGGAACCACAGATACCCCACCCCCACCCCAGAGAGAGCTATGAGGACATGGACCCCAGCAAAGCCTTGTAAGCTGATGGGGGCAACAAGTGGGGCTGGTGCAAATTGGGGAAGGACATGAGGTTGAGGCCCCACATGAACCACATCAGACCCCCAAATCTCCTCCTGCATCCCTGTTCAGCCTGTGTTTTGCACTGCCTGGGACCCCTGTCTGCCCAGGGGTGGGGCAGGGACATGGACTCAATTGTGAAGGTGGCTATGGCTGGAAGGTGTGAGCACCTCCCCATGCCAGGATCCATGCCCATACCACAGACACACACACCCGTAGACTTGGTCTTGGGGCCGGCCTGCATGGCACTGTCCTCGTGGTCGATAGGCTGACTGGACAGGGAGACGATCCAGATCTCGGCCACCTTGACGGGGGCTTCCTTGATGCTGCTGCAGAGGCTCAGCACCTGGCCCCCCTCCGCAGGGTGCTGCATCACCTGCAGGCAGGGCAGGGGTCTACGGAGGCCTTCCTGGCTCAGCCCCCCTCCCTGGCAAGCCTGACACCTTAGAGTGAGGGCCAGGGCTTCTGAAGGATGCCATGGGGGCCAGGTGGAGGGACAGGAAAGGTGTGGGTGCTCTCAGAGGCTGTACTGGGGAGGTCAGGGCCAGGCAGGGCCACGGCAGACTGAGAGAGACAGGGAGGACTATGACCTCTGCCCTGCTGAACCCTGACGTCCACAGGGCGGTGTAAGCACACAGGCTCAGAAGCCCCTGCTGACATCCTGAGAAACCAGGTCACCTGGGTGGGCTGCCACTGCTGGTCTGGAGGGAGCAGTGAGGTCCTAGATAGGAGCTGCATGTGGTGAACAGCTGATGCTCTTAGAGCCCAGCCAGGAGCTCATGACACCCTCCAGGGCACCCAGGTGGGGCTAGAGCCTCTTCCCCCATGCGGACCCAGCTCTTCCCTCCTCTCATGGCCTCTATCAGAGGTCCTTCTGCTCTGATCCCTGTTGCTAGTGTGTGTAGGGGGCAGTTCTGGTCCCACTGAGCAGTCAGGAGCATGCCCAGAACAAAGGGGTCACTCCTGAAAGGAGTGCCTCAGGCCCAGGCAGGGAGTGAGGAAAGCCAAACAGCACAGGCCCTGCTGAGGGTGGAGGATGTAGCCACACTGGGCTCTCAGCTCACTGTGGCCACCACCCCAGCCTCTCATCCAGCCCTGTGTGACACATGAATCCTTCAGCCTCCACAGGGCTGGCTTCCCAGTCAGGGGTCTGGCTGCTGCTGGAGCTGGGCATGTGCCTAGGTGACACTGGCCAGCTGGTCACTGTCCTAGGCAGCAGTTGTACCTATTCCTCTCAGCCGCCCCTGGAGCCTGCCTCCCAGGCTGGCCTACCAGCCACTCTCTGGATATCGAGTGACCCACCTCAAAGGCTACATCTCCCTCTAGCCCTGACTCCTAAAGGCCTCCTTGTTTCATTTCCAAATAAGTTTTAATGACATGGAAGATAGTCCAGGATGGAGTGCTTAATTGCTTAAAGAGAATAATCAAATTTTGCAAAAACAGGCCAGGTACAGTGGCTTACATCTATGATGTCAACAGTTAGGGAGAGTGAGACAGAGGATCTGTGAAGCCAGGAGTTCCAGACCAGTCTGAGCAACAAAGACCCTGTCTCTACACAAAAAACTTGAAAAAGTTCCAAGTCTGTGTCACATTTCGGTAATTCTCACAAATTTCAAACTTTTTCATTATGATTACATCTGTTATGGTGATCTGTGGTCAGGGATCTTTGCTATCACTACAGTTAAGTATTTGGGCCACCACAAACCACACTCATGTAAAGCAGCAAACTTCATCAACAAACACTGTTTGTGTTGTGACCACTTCACTGCCTGTCTACCTCTCTTTGAGCCCCCCATTCCCTGAGACACAACAGTATTGAAATTACGCCTAACTAATAACCTTCCCATGGCCTCTAAGTGTTTGAGTGAAAGGAAGAGTCACGTGTCTCTCACTTAAACCAAAAGCTAGAAATGATGAGGCTTAGTGGGGAAGACATGTGAAAGCCATGACAGGCTGAGAGCTGGA